CCTCATTGTATTGATGATTTTCCATGAAAAAAAGGTTTATTTTTTCCTTATCTGAAGATCTCATATCATCTTTATCCCAAAATATGCATGCTTCCTTTTCTTCAGTCCATGATTTCTTGAACTTTCTTTGATTTTTCTCTCCTTTCTGGTTTTGAGGGCAATTTGGTCTTATATGTCATTTATCTCAGCATTGATGACATGTAGGAATGAAAGAGGAACTTTATTCTCTTTGCTTTTGAAGCCTTAAAGTGTGCTCTAGGAACTCTTTGAATTTACAAAACATGAATTCCATGAATTCACTACATTAACACTCTTTAACCTCTAGCTCCATGTCTTTAATGCTTGTGACTTTTAGTGTGATACTTTTCTTCTATTTCTTATCATCTTCTTCGTCATCAACAAGTCTCATTAGTTCCATCTCGTGTTCCTGCAATTTTCCAAAAAGAGTGCATGTGTGTGTGTGTGTGTGTGTGTGTGTGTGTGTGTGTCCATAATCGTTAAATCCTTAGATTCATAAATCGCGATGACTTTGGGTTGCCAACTGCGGTTCAAACATTTAAGAATTTTTATGACTAATTCCACATTTAGGAAATTTCCCCCAAAATTCTCATATGATTAACGATATGAGTAAATTGTATTTGCATTTGATTAATGCTCTTTTCATGTTTCATTCTAAAGAGTTCATACTCATGGGTTAATGTGTCCAACCTTACCCTTTTAACCTCAGTGATTCCTTCATGGGTAATTTGGAGGATGTCTCGCATTTCTTTTGCATACTCGTAGTGAGAAACTCGTAAAACTTATCAAGACTGATAATGGCAGTGATGACAACTTTCGCCTTCAAACCGCGCTACGCATTTTATTTATCATCTTTGGTCCAATTCTTTTCATGTTTGTTTTCTAAAACACCATTAACTTTGTGTGTAGGAATAAACGAACATTCATTCACAACCTTTCAAATACCACGATCATTCCCCTTATATGAAAAACTTCATTTTCTCTTTCCAAAAACTATACCCTTCTCCATTGAAGAATGATGGTTTGTTTAGTGAATAGCTTGAAGTCATTCCCTGAGACGATTGATCCTTAACAGGAGTTACACTCTGATGCCACTTGTTAGACTATTGACTTTAAGCACAAAGGGGAGGGGGTGAATTATGGTGTTTAAAATACTTGATTATTTTTAAATTTTTTCTTGATTAGAATTAAAATTGTGTTAGTAGTTTCTCAAGAGTAAATAGCAGTAAAAATTAAAACGATAAAAAACATAAATTAAAAAGACATGGTTATAGAGATTGCACTTGAGATATACAGATTTGGCCGAACATTGGCCTAATCTAGTCCCCAAGAAATATTTTTGAGAATTTTACTATAAACTTTGAGCTTTTGAAGGTTATGCCCACAAACCTTTATACAATTTGATATTGGCTTTCAAGATTTAAGCAAACAACACGACCACTTATAAACTCTTCCTCACAAACAAAGTTTCACTCAAAAGCACTATGACAACTTATATGAAAATAAATATTTCTTAGAGAGAAAGAGAAAAAAATAGAGATTTTTTTTTAAAGAAAATGTAAAGCTTTGGAAAGTGGGTGAAATGAAGAGGATGCGAGTCTCCTTTATATAGGAGTTGGAAAAATCAGAAAAGGAAATAATCCACAGGCAGAATTTATGATCTAATTGATTGGCTTAAGTATTCAATTGGTTGGTTAGTTCAAAAAAGATTTTGAAAAAGATAGAACAACTTCTTAATCACTTGGCTTTGCCTAGAAAACAATTTTCAAGATAAAAAGGTTTGAAAAATATTTCTAAGGTGTGTGTGAGTTGTCTTAGTACTTTGAAATCACTTCCTTACTTTTACAAAACTCTTGCCACTCAGACAAACACGACTTGGCGAACTTTCTCATTTCCTCTATTTCATTACTCCGAAGCTTCTAAGATTTTTTGCCAGATACCTCAATCATATAAATACTTTAATAGTGAGTCTCTTTTCTTAACGAGGCTAGAGATATTTCTCTAGTTTGGTCACCATCATCAGAGAATTGAAAGTTATTGTCGCCGACTTCATCACAATTGTTAACGTTGTCATCATCAAAACTTCAGAGAGGGTCTTTTGCAGGATTGTCAACTTTATACATGCAAGCACATAGATTTACATATTTTACCTTAAAGAAACAAAGTTGATAGTCTACGTGTCGTGAATATTGTGGATACATAAGAGGAAGAGCTTTTACTGTTCGCAAGTGACAAAAAGGGAAAAACAATATTGTATGAACTTTTTATATGTGCCTTAGCCACAGTGGACCATGTAATCCCCTATATTGGGAAGCTCAAACCACACTACCAACGATCATGATCTCCTCGAGAATTTTCGAGGTACTTGAGTATCCTAAGATAAAAGAGATATAATTACTGACTAGTATATGGGCACACGTTGGATGCTCCTTACAAAATGCAACCTATTAAAGGAAAGACATTTGACACGCCTGTTCTCAATGCGAGTGACATTCCATTAAGACTCTTCACTTGCTCCTGCTAGCAGACAGTTTAAGGACGCACACAACAAACCCTCGTCTTACAAAGTAGAGACAAGGACTTGAGGGAAACTGTTTTGGATCGTTCCCAAGGCCCATAACGAAATACCTAAGTACGACATCAAGTGAAAGATTGCATATAACACGTGACCACTCATTCCAGTAAAAGTAGATGATTTTGTCCGCTAGACGCATCAATCACCGGCTTATTAAATACGGCCACCATGATGCGTCTCCTCTCACGCAAATGATTTTAACCGTTCACAATATATAAAGAAGAAAACACATTATTTTAGGTATTCGAATTTACTCTTTCTCTGACCTTACTTCTTATTTTCTTAAAAGTTGAAATGATAACCTTACAAATCAGCTCAATCTCCATCCTACCATAAATTTGTTCCACCTATCCAATATCTTATCTCAATGTCTCACCATTTATTTATGATTTCCAAATAAAAAAAGACTATTAAAAAAGATTGAATAACTAACGATGAAAATGAACTTCGAGAAGAAGACATTTTGATTTCATAAACGTGAATAAATTATAAAAATGTAAATAATTGGGTAATATATGATTTTATAATTATGTTATATTTTAATTTCCTACCATAAAACTTGAGACATTTTACAAGTTTTGTTATTTTAAGATTTTTATTTAACCTATTTGAACTTTAAAGTCTGTTAATTATATAAAATTGATTAAATATAACTTTATTAAAAAAATTAGAAAATATTTTTTTATTAAGTTTTATAATTATCTATAGTTTTTTAATATAAACAAAATTAAGAATCACTCAATTCGTAAAAAAAATTAAACGTATGTTTTACGTTTTACTTTTGACGCAGGCTTTCAATTCATTAGCAAAGGTTGTTCTTCTTACTAATTGCGATTAATTAGGAGAGCTGGGACCTACTGTATATAAACAAAAATTAGTAATTTATAATTAATGGTATAAAAGTTTGATGGGAACGGGACAACAAACGCAAGAATAGGTTAAAGGTACCAACCAACCACTACGTTGTTATTCTGGAAAATGCTGCCTCTTGTACTAAGTTGTAACGCGAGTGTTCACAAGTTTCCGTGTGTCTGAGTAACACCGAATCTTCCCCTTTTCAAATTTGTAGCGCGCTAAAACAGAAAGTGTCAACGTGTCACTTTGTTTACCCAGTTTGTAATCTTAACGGATTCCGAATCCCCCTCTTTTCTTTCTCTTTTACTTTTCCTTTTAATAGTAATAATAAAAATATAATAATAATAATAATGTGAATGGTTAAAATAATTCCCGAAAATACAATTGGTATTTATTACTGTATTTGTTGAGTAAAGTAACTGTACTACCTTCATTAAATAGGGTTGATCGTTTTTATCATCATTCAAATCAAATCAGATCATAGTTCTTCATGAGGCTCAAACGTTTTACTATCATTTAATTAATTTTCACATCTTGAAAAAGTAAATACTGGTACAAGATTTTATGTGACCTTTTTTTCCCTTTATGAAATACAATGCAAATTAAAGTAAGATATAATGAGCCAGTCTTACACAAATGTTTTGAGATACTAATAATTATTTTGGTTGGATTGAAATCATGTTTGTATTTATATTATTTAATTTTCTGAATACAGATGGTAAAATATTATTCTTTCAAAAATGAAAAACGTGAGGCTGAGATGGGTAGCCTATTGCGACACTCTTATCCTATATTAAAAATAAAATTTCAAAGAGAGTGAGAAAAAAAGCCAAAAACCTAAAAAAATGGACAAAAATAAATACAAATATAAAAAATATATAAATGTGTTAAAATTAACTATTAATATTATCAAATCATAATTAATATTATAAAACAAATATATTATATTTCTGATTCCATATCTTAAAAACCCATAAATAAATATATTGAAACTGAAAGTAGAGTTAATGAAATGTTACATTGACTGAGCAGTAAATAAAGAAAAAACTTGTTTCAATGAGTATTCAATCAATTTGGGTAAAGTATAGTCTTAGACATAAATTAATCATTGTTAAACGAACATAGATATTTTATATCCATGATATTATGATTATTAAAAAGGCAAAACGGAAAAAGAAAAAAAAAACGTAGAACGAGAAAGTCAAGATACAGTAAAGACTAAAGAGTAGTAGAGACAGCGTATCTTCATTCTTAACTCTAATACGTTACTCTAGATGGGATAATAAAAAAGAAAAAAAAATGGAAAAAAAAATTACTAGTGGTAGAGAAAAAAGAGAAGGAAAAGTAAAAAAACAGAAAAATAGAGCGACAGCTGTGAAAGGGTATTAATTGTCCCCACCAAAAAAATAAAATAAAAACCTTTCTTTCTCCCGCTCTCACCCTTCTTGAATTCTTCTTCTTCTGTTCTTTTGATCCTCACTAGAGTTTCTTAGTGATAGAGAGAGAAAGTTTGTTAGTACTCATGTGGTGATGCTTTCTCTCTCCACCAGATATGGATACGCCAGAGAGAAACCAAATCAACACCGCTCTCTCTAAATTCGAGGTTCGCCATTCCGCCACCATTTCCGTATTCTTCGCTGCCCCGTTGCATGTCTTTCATCATACGCTTTTTCGATTTTTCATTTTTTCCGATTTCTACGTTTTTTTCTGTCGTTTTGAACTTTTTGTGTCAATTGCTTCTTCTTATCAAACGTTTTGAATCAATGTGTTCATTTTTTTTCACTCTTCTAGATCTCATCTCGGTCAAATTTGTTTTTCGACTTGTTTAATTTACTTTCACTGTTCATATTGTTTTTCTGATTTTTTGTTTGTTGCAGTTACAGGCAAATTGAGTCCATTTTGGCTTAATTATCAACCTAATTTTGTGGATTTGAATTAGTTAAACTTTTTTATGGTTTAAGGTCAATGGTAATTGGTTTTGCTCTTGAGTAGGTTATTATTTTTATCCTCAAGCTTTTCTCTCTGTAATCATGCATGCATTTGTTTAGTTTTTAGTGTTTAATCAACAATCTTTCCTTTGATTTGTTTTGTTAACAATTTTTTTATTTATAAAATTATTATTACATTCTTTGAAATGATTATTACACTCTTTGAAGTGATTATTACACTTGTTGTGTAAATCCTAATTTGATTATAATTTTATCCTTTGTTGCTTATGCAGGATTCACCAGTGTTCAACTATATTAATAATTTGTCTCCTATTAGGCCTGTTAAATCGGCTCATATTACTCAAACTTTCAATTCACTTAGCTTTTCATCTCCTCCGTCTGTTTTTACATCACCACATGTCACCTCTTTCAAGGAGTCTAGATTCCTACGCAGGTAAATTGTTTGAATTAGTTTTTTTTTTGTTTATTGTTGTTTGATAGTTTTGAGTTGGATTTATACTCTATTGATCCGATTATGATGTTTACTAATTATTCATATCTAGACATAACCCACCGAGCCCGTTGAAGCCTAAGGATTCATCTGAAGATGTAAATAAAGTGTCTTCAAATGAAGAGGCTCTTGCAGATTCTACTCTTTCACATCATAACTCAAGCGAGTTACACGAGAGTGCTGATAAAGGGATTTCGGTAGGAGATGTTTCTATTGAGCTATCTAGCGAACAGGCAAAATTCTCTGATGAGCTACCGCAGGCATTACAATATAATTGTGGTAGTCCTGGCTTTGATCCTCCACTTTGTTGTGATGAAGGTAACGCTCTTTTGGAATTGCCCGGTGAAGCCGTGTCTGATGTTGGATATGTTCAGGAAGGTTGTAAAAATGATTCGGATGAGCCTGAATTACATCTTCAAGGAACAAGTCAGATTGATCCAAAGGGTGAAGGCTCAGACTGTGATTGGGATGGTTTAATTCACAACGGTGCGGATATGTTAATTGAAGCAGAAGCTTTTAAGGGTCTAATGCAGAAACCATTGGGATCTTCTATAAGACTTTGTGATTTTGTCCCTCTTCAGCAATCTGCCAGTAATAATGATCAGAAAATACACATGGTTGATTCAGTTGCTTCTGGTTCTGAACATGAAATTGAAAATCATTGTTCTGAGCTTGTTGTCTCAACAGACACTGACCGTACACAGGACAATCTTGCTAATGATTCTTTCATGACTAGCAATCCAAATGAGAAAATGGACCACACACAGGACAATCTTGCTAATGGTTCTTTCATGACTAGCAATCCAAATGAGAAAATGGACAATCAGGTAGGAATGCAAGTTCTTTTACTGTCATGTTTAGGTGAATTATATCTATTTAAATTTGTTCTTAAATGTCTATTCTAATTTTTCTTACAAGTAGATGTATGCTTCCATGAGTTTATTCCTGAAGCATGGTTTTCTAGGTTATTCTACAAGGACGTGTGCTCCTGCGAAGTATGGATACAGATGGTTTTCTTAAAGAAATACACTCAATCTACTATTTCATATATGCATCTGATTTTGCTTTTTTATGTGTTTAACACACTTTGTTGTTTATAAAAAACATACTTCTTCGTTATGGTTTTATTAAGATCCTTCTACAAAATACATTACCTCTGTAATGTGTTGCCCATAAGTACTTTCTTGTTGTTTGTATTGTATTCCCTAAGTTATACTTCAGTAAGGAAACTTGTTGTGTGGCATTTTGTATTTATTGAGGTTTATAAGTTTTTGAAATTGATTTTTTTGTTACTTGATTTATCAATAAATGCATTTTACAAATCAATGGCTATAGAATCATTTTTGTGTTTCAGCTTGTTTCTGTCACGCACCGTGGTATCCGGAGGCGTTGTCTTGACTTTGAGATGGTCGGTGTACGAAAGAACTCTGATGATAATTCAAACACTGGCTCCAGTACAACACAGTCTGAAGTAAGGAATTCTTCAGACAAAAAGCAACTGCTCCCTGCAAAACGTAATGCAAATTCACAAAAGTGCATTTTACCAGGTATCGGTTTACACTTGAATGCACTTGCTCCCTTAAAGGATGGCACAGGAATACAGAACAGAAATTTGACTTCTGGAAGACAACTCAGTCTCACCAACTCTACTTCCTTGCTACTCTCTGCATGCCAAGAACATCAGCATCTATCGATTGTATCTGTATCAGTATCTTCTGAAAGAGAATTGGACCTATCAGGCAATGAGGTTCAGCCTGCTGAAGATTCTTCCCTGGTACCAGCTTACATGGCTGACGAAGATTTCAATCCGAATAGCCCCAAAAAGAAAAAGTAAATGAAGTTGTTGATTATCATGCTTTCTGCTTGAAAATTTCATCTCACTGACTTATAATCATTAGACTTATACTAAGCTTGGATGTGCAGGCGTAAGTCAGAGCCAGTTGGTGATACTGAGGGCTGCAAACGCTGTAATTGCAAGAAATCAAAGTGCCTGAAGCTGTAAGTTTAAATGATTAAATGAATACTTGCTTTTCTTCTATTTTTTTTAAGGGATAAACATCCTCCAGTCAGCGTCTTACTCTCTTGGGTTAAAGCCTTGAAAATCAACTAAATATATGTTTTTCATTCTGTAGAATTCAAATGATTTTTGCCAAGCATGTCTGTCCATTATCAATGTTTTATCGGTTGATTTTCTCTCTGTTTTATGCAGTTTTAACGTTTATCTTACATGAACAAATAAAAATTACCTTAGTGGCTCTGAAATTAACCATATTGTTATTTTGATCAGTTACTGTGAGTGTTTTGCTGCTGGTGTCTACTGCATAGAACCCTGTTCCTGTCAGGACTGCTTCAACAAACCTGTTCATGAAGATACTGTTCTTCAAACTCGCAAGCAAATTGAATCTCGCAACCCTCTTGCATTTGCTCCTAAAGTCATCCGAAGTGCTGATTCCGTGCCTGAAATTGGGGTTAGAAGATAAATCGAATTTAGTCTTTTGCTTTTGTGATTCTAAGCAAATTTTATACTGTATTAATAATTACTGTCTTCTTGCAGATTGACCCAAACAAAACTCCAGCTTCAGCACGCCACAAAAGAGGGTGCAACTGCAAGAAATCAAGCTGTCTAAAGAAATATTGTGAATGCTATCAGGTTTTGATCCTTATTTAATCATGTATAACTCCAGTATCAGTTATATATGAATCTAAAATAAAATTGTTTTCTTTTGAAGGGCGGTGTTGGTTGCTCCATTGGCTGCAGGTGTGAAGGGTGCAAGAACGCATTCGGTAGAAAGGATGGTAAGCTTTCCCTTACATTGCATACTTCGGCATCAAGGTGTTTCCAATTAGGACCAATTAGCTTTCAATTGACTTACACGTCTTTTCATTCATTTTATCAAATTTTGTTCAGGTTCTACTTCTATAGTGACAGAAGGCGAGACAGAAGAAGAACCAGAAATTAGTGACAAGGGTGTGGAGGAAAAAGCTATTCAGAAAACTGAATTTCAGAATATCGAAGATCATTTGGATTCTTCCATGGCTGCAACACCATTACGGATTTCCAGGTTTAATACACTAACCTTTTGTTTTTGTCAGCTAAGATAAAAAAAATTGATGTCCCATATTGATTTACCTTAGTTCATTATTTCATTGGAACAGGCCATCACTTCCGATGCCCTTTTCATCAAAGGGAAAGCCACCAAGATCTTTTGTTACAACCATCACCGGTTCTGGATATTTCACCAGCCAAAAGCTTGCGAAACCAAATCCTCTTTGGTCTCAATCCAAGTCTTTTCAGACTGTTGCAGACGATGAAATGCCAGAAATTCTTCGTGGTGATAGTTCTCCTATCGCATGCATCAAAACTTCATCTCCAAATGGGAAGAGAATCTCCTCTCCTAACTGTGAAATAAGATCATCTCCTACTCGCAGAGGTGGCAGAAAATTGATATTACAGTCTATTCCTTCATTTCCTTCTCTCACCCCTCGCCCTTAGAAGAATGGTTACATTTTTCCATGTATGTCAGCCATCACCCGTACCCCCGTATTAAGATATGTTTTTAGCTTGTTGCAGCAAAAGTCATGCTTAGATTTTATGTATATTGAGTTTTGTTTTACTATGGTAATAATATGTTGTGTTTGTTCCATAAAGTACACATGTGATAATAATGTGTAGTTTCTTCCATAATGTACCTTGTTAATTTATGTTGAAAATTCAACAACAAACGAGTTTGTAGAGTTCTAACCTAAAGTTAAAAAGTTGTCAAGTAGGATGCCTAAAACCTTGAGCGGAATCATGGAACAAATAACTAAAAACGTCTGTTGACTTGGATTTGTTTGAAAGTTTGGAGAAAAAGCAAAGGGAGAGTTTTGAAAGGATAGAGTAATAAGAATAGGAAGATTTAAATGGATATCACTTTGTGGGAGTTTAATTTTATTTGGAATACAAAATTAAAAAATTGTATTGGACGAGAGTTGGGGAGTTTGCATAATTGATAATATTTGCTTGTGTCTTGAGATTAGGTTTGTCGGTTAGGAAGAGAATTTTAAAAATTATTTAATAAATATTTAAAAATGATTTTATATATTTATCATTAATATATTTTTAATTTTTTGAATACCATAATAAATTATACTAATTTTCAACAATTTATATAAACCCTTTAAAGTTATCCAAATTCCTTCAATATTACTTTTTAGTTTCTAAAATTGTTTATGTGTTTGATATTAACAAACATAACCTAAGAATAAGAATATATATTTATATTAATAATATAATTTAATATATTAATGTAATATATTGTTTTTAAAATTTTAAAAATATCAAACATATCTCAAAATATAAAGTCAACTCTTCAAACTTTCTTCCCCAAAACCTTTCAAAAACAAACTTTCAAACAGATCCTAAGAATTTTATTGCTTTTTTCAACAAATTTTTCATTTGCAAGCTTCTTACTTAACAAGCATGACTCTCATAAATTCTTCAATATAATATTCTTATAATTAAAAAATTATTAATGATAAAAATCCAAATTATACTTATTTACAAATCATTCTTTCTAAATGTTAAAAAAAAATATTTTATTTTTTAATTTCCTTCCTTCAAAATGCCATCTCTTTCTTTAGTGTATACCTACAACAAAAAATGAACAATTTTTCTTTATAAAAAATATTTAGTTATGGATCTTGCTAACTTGTGTTTCAAATAAACAAATAAAGTCTAAATAATTGAAAATAATTTTTATCCATTTATCTTCTATTATTTGTAAATATTTTATTTGTCATATATATATATATATATATATATATATATATATATATATATATATATATATATATATATATATATATATATATATATATATATATATATATATATATATATATATATATATATATATATATATATATATATATATATATATATATATATATATATATATATATATATATATATATATATATATATATATATATATATATATATATATATATATATATATATATATATATATATATATATATATATATGCACACACACATGTGTGTGCGCGCGCGCTTCGTGTTAAGAGTCTCACATTAACTTAATCTCAAAGAATAATGTTTAAACTTTCATCCATGAGTTATTATTTGTAAATTTCTTAACCATGATTATATATTAAAAAAACACAAATGATATTATTGAGTAATTGTAAAGTCGTAAAAGAAAAATAAAATCAAAGAAAGAAAAGTGAATTCTCATTGATTTAGCTCAAAATAGTGAGTATAACTTGATTTATATGAAAGAGAAACAAACTCTCGTGATTGTTATTTTGATCATGGATGGAAATTGGAATACATAAGTAAGAAAGTGAATAATAAAAAAAGCAGTTTAGTTAATGCTTAATTGACAATTTGTGTGTGTCAATCTCTTCATCATATTGGAATCCAAGAAGTTCTTATTTGTTAGGCTACCCAAAAAGAGTTATCTTCACCATATTGGAACTTAATGAGTGATCTTTTAGGAAATTTTTCGAAAATCATGTGAGTGAGGACAATGCATGATAAAAAGACCCGTATTTGTTTGTGGGATCAATTGGTAATCTTGAAGGTAGTATAAGGCATTATACTAAACACCATCGACAATCCTAAACTACACAAACAACCTTATAAATACAATACTATCCTCATTGTACTTTGTAGCAAGTACATTTGGAGTCCACTGTGGGATCCCGATAAAACTAACGTGGATCGCACTAATTACCATTTGTCATCCACCTCAATCACCTTCTACATCAAGATTGGGCAACATGGTGCAGATGTTAACATAACACCATCGTCATAGGATTCATCGGCGGTGGAGAATTCATCTATTCCCTCCAAAAGTATGTTAGACAAGTTTTGTCTGCAATCATCATACACGCCAACCTTGAGTCAAACTTGGAGAAGGATCCAAAGTTCAAAACCATCTTTTCTGGAAATGATGCAACAACCGTCCCATGGTCATCACGTTGTAGTTCAAAACCATCTTTTCAGGCAATGATGCAACCCATAAAGGTTAATGAACATTCTATCATGGGAAGTCTTTGAGAGACTTTGATTTATCTATATGACACTCAGGCATTTTGAGGTTCCCGATTGGTCTCTCAAGAGGGCATGTAAACGTGAAATCCAACATATTGCTCCAGACAACATTCAAGTTGGACACAAGTGGAAAGACAATCAAGGTGAAATACCTAGTAGTATACGTCTCGTTGCCATACAATGCCATCGTCGGGCGGCCCACCCTCAACCTACTATGAACAATCCTATCCACTATACATTTAAGTATGAAGTATCTGTTACCCAACGGGTGAGTTGGAATGGTCCAAAGGGGCCAAGAGATCACCCAATAATGTTCTCAAAGCAGTCTCAAAATGATAAAAGAGGAGATGGCCGCAACAACCATTCCACAGCTAGGTAGACAATAAAAAGTTGTTAACAGTTTAGATCCTAGAATAAAGGTAGAAAATGAAAGGTTTACTCCCACAGAGGACCTAAAGCAAGTCCAAATTTCTGTCTAAAGACGAGAAGGAGGAGTTGGTTGCTCTATTGAGGAGGGATGTCGATTTATTTTCCTGGGATCCCACCACCACGATAGGGATAAATACTAGGGGTTTCTATCATCGCCTCAACATTAATTCCACTATGAAACCAGTATCCTAGAGGAAGCTTAAGGTGGGCAAGGAGAAGCGGACGACTAATGATGAAGAGGTTCATAAATTGAGGAATGTCAGCTTCATAACTGATGTTAAGTGTTCATCTTGGTTAACTAACACAATATTGGTCTGGAAATTATCAAACAAGTGGCGCATGTGCATCCACTTTACTGACCTAAAAGTTGTATGTCATAAGGATCCATATCCACTACCCAATAATGACTGGTTGATTGATGGGTCTTCTGGTTTAAAAACCCTAAGTTTTACTGACGCCTATTCAGGCTATATATATATATATATATATATATATATATATATATATATATATATATATATATATATATATATATATATATATATATATATATATATATATATATATATATATATATATATATATATATATATATATATATATATATATATATATATATATATATATATATATATATATATATATATATATATATATATATATATATATATGGATCATGTGGACGCGCCAAAAACCTTGTTCATGTCAAACCATGGCAACTACTACTACTGGGTCATGCCTTTTGGACTTAAGAACGTGTGTGCCACCCACCAAAGAGTAGTGGATGCATTTTTCTCAAAACAAATAAAGAGAAACTTGTAGGTCTACATTGTTGTATGACCCTGAAGACTTTAGAGGGGGAGAGTCACTATACATACTAGAAAGAGATATTGGAATCAGTCAAGCGGTATAACATACGCTTAAAAATTTCAAAGTGCTCTTTTGACATGCAGGCAAGTAAGTTCCTGAGAGTTATGCTAACTAGAAGAGGGATATAGTGAATCCCGAAAATTTACAAGCTATCATCAATATGAGAAGCCCATACAATATTAAAGAGGTTCAACAACTAACGGGGCACTTATCCACCTAAGCTCATTTTCTCTCTTGTGTAGATCACAAGGCATTTCATTTTCTTTTCACTTTGAATAAGAAGCATAAATTTTAATGAACAAGCAAGTGCGACGAGGCATTGTTAACTTTGAAGATCTTTCCGGCGATGTCATCATTATTAACAAGCCTAGAGGCGGGTACATTTTTCTATCTCTATATGTCTGTTACTGACCAGACAATGAGTTATGTGCTTGTTCAAGAGAAGAACAAAGTTGAGCAGCTTATCTACTTCAAGAGCAAGGTATTCAAAAGCGCTAAGGATAAGTACCAAAATGTCGAGAGACTCGCCTTGGAGGTCGTGATAAATGCAAGAAGTTCGTACCTTACTTATAAGGGCATTGTGTCATGGTGAAAACAAACTACCTCATTCTCTAAGTTTTGAAGATGTCGTATTTTGCATGAAGGACGGTATCTTGGTTAATAGAGTTATCTGAGTACGATATCCAATATATACTCAGAGGGAGAATCTTGTTGCAAGTACAAGTTGATTTCCTGGAAGAGTTTAGTTTTCCAGTAGGCGAGGAGATTCCCCACGTATGGATACAATTTGGGGGCGATGCCTCAAACCTGAAAGGAAGTGGCGCTAAAATAGTTCTAAAGGGATCACATGACCTCATAATAAAGAATTCCTTGAAGTTTTAGTTTAAATACAACAATAACCAAGCTGAGTATGAAGCCCACATCAATGATATAGTTATCACCGTAAACATGTGCACTTCAAGCCTTAAGGCCAAAAGATGTTCACATTTGGGGAAAAATCAAACCGCCCTGAATATCAGATGAAAGAGCTTTAGCTAATCAAATATATGAAAAAGGTAGGCTATTTATTTAAATGTTTCATAGCTTTTGAGATAACTTATGTGCCTAGGGAATAAAAATCTAGAGTTGGTCTTT